GGGGAGATCAACCAGCATCAATTTGCCAGCAAGGAATTGATGCCGTAGTCGAGTTATTGCTTTGGTGAGGACATCTGCCACCTGAAGATCAGATGAAATGTAGGGAAGAGAAATCACTTGATCCGTCAAAGTGTCACGAAAAGTGACAATCGACCTCAATGTGTTTGGTGTGTTCATGAAAGACAGGATTGCCTGCAATTTGAATAGCACTAGTGTTGTCAGCATGGAGAGGAGTAGGATGAGTCTGAGGAAACCCCAGCTCCACTAGAAGACCATGTAACCAAATAATCTCAGAATAAGCAGAAGACATGACACGATACTCAGCCTCAGTAGATGATTTAGAAACACGATCTTGTTTCTTGCATAATGCATCACCCAAGAACATACACCAACTCGTAGTCGAACGACGTGTATTTGGACACCCAGCCCAGTCAGTATCACTGTAGGCTAAGAGTTGAAGCGAAGACCCTCTAGGAAAGAACAATCCACGAGTAGGTGATCCACGGAGATAGCGAACAATATGGCTAACAGCCGCAAGATGAAGATGCCGAGGTGAAGACATAAATTGGCTGACCTGATGGACGACATATGAGATATCTGGACGAGTGGTAGTCAAATAGATAAGACTCCCAACTAGACGACGATATAGAGTAGGGTCTTCTAGAAGATCCCCGTCTTCTTTCCTGTACTTGACATTGACTTCCATAGGAGTATCCACAGAAGAAGAATCCTCCAACCCAGCTAGCACAACAAGATCCTGAACATACTTATGCTGGTTTAAGAAAATACCTTGATCCTGATGATGAACTTCGAGGCCTAAGAAGTATGTGAACTGACCAAGATCTTTCATGTCAAAAGTGGCATGCAAGCACTGTTGAAGCTTAGAAATGAAATCACAGGTGCCAATAATGATGATGTCATCTATGTAAACCAAAAGAAGTACAATACTCGAGCCAGATTTGTGAAAGAATAGGGAAGAATCATATTGACTCTGTGCAAAACTGAAAGTAATAAGAGTGCTATGAAACTTCTCAAACCACGCTCAAGGAGCCTGCTTGACCCATATAGAGAACGTCGTAGCCTACACACATCATGAGGAGAAGAAGTAGGCATACCGGATGGAAGTGTCATGTAAATCACCTCATGAAGATCGCCATGAAGAAATGCATTCTTCACATCCAACTGATGGAGTTTCCATGACTGAGAAGCAGCAATAGCTAAGATTGTTCACACGGTGGTCATTTTGACAACAGGAGCAAAAGTTTCCTCATAGTAAACCCCATATTCCTGCTTGTTACCTAATGCCACAAGACGTGCTTTGTACTGATCCAAAGAGCCGTCAGAACGAAGTTTCACAAAGAAAATCCATTTACTCTCAATAGGTTTCACCGTAGGAGGGCAAGGAACAACGTTCCAAGTGTAATTCTCCTCAAGTGTCTGAAGTTCTGCTTTCATTGCATTTTGCCAACACTCATGTTCCATGGCTCGTTTATAAGAAGAGGGAATGGAAATAGTAGATAAAATAGCTACAAGAGAGACAAGAGATGAAAAACCATACCGATTAGGCGACCGAGAAGGACGCGTAGACCGACGAAGACAGGGAGGAGCTATAGTAGGATCAGGTGCCGCAGTGAGATCGGGAGGGGGCACAAAAGGAGCACCACCAGATTCACGATTACGTCGTTCATATACAAGTCCCGGTTTAAATCGCACCATAGGAGGAGGGGAATCAGAGAAGGTAGGCAGGCCAGAAAAAGACGTAGATGGCATATCAACATGAGACGGAAAAAAATATTGGTTTTCAAGGAAAACCACATTCCTAGAGACACGGATGCGTCGAGTAAGAGGATCATAACAAACATAACCCTTTTGAGAGATAGCATAACCAAGGAAAGCACACTTAACAGATTGAGCAGTAAGTTTATGTCACTCATAAGGAGGAAGATGCACAAAACAAATATAACCAAATGTACGTAGATCGGAGTATGATGGTAAGTGTCCATATAACCTAAAGAAAGGAGAAGCATGATTTAAAGAGGGAGAGGGTAAACGATTAATTAAATGCACAGAAGTGGAAAGTGCTTCACTCCAGAATCGAGAAGGTACAGATGAGTCAAGTAAAAGAGTTCGCACCATATCTAGAAGGTGACGATTCTTTCTTTCAGCAATACCGTTTTGCTGCGGCGTCGAAGGACAAGAACGCTGAGAAATAATACCTTTGTTTTGGAGAAAGTCCTGAAACTCATTGGACATATATTCCCCTCCAGAATCAGATCGCAAGATTTTTATACCGCTAGAAAATTGAGTCTCAAGAAAAGCAAGGAAATGCTTAAAAACTGAAAAGACATCGGTCTTGGCTCTTAAAAAATAAACTCAAGTAAAGTGACTAAAATCATCAATAAATATAACAAAGTACTTATAACTTGCATGAGAAATAATAGGTGAAATCCCCCAAACATCACTATGAATTATATCGAAACATTGTGAGGCACGAGATCCATGAGAGGGAAAAGGTAAAACTTTACTTTTGCCAATTTTCATGTAGTACAATCAAAAGAAAGATCAGAAGAACATGCTTTATTACCCAATAAATCATAATGAAATAAAGTACGAAGTACATCCGAGTTTGGGTGACCTAAACGTTTATGCCATAATTTAGTATCGGTACTAATAGCATTACATGCAAAGAAAAGTAAAGGAAAACTAGGGAAAGGAGAACAAGAAAGTGCTGTATCTCTCCATCATTGGTTAGCATAATCTGTTCATCTAAAATAGCATCAATTTTATCTTTGGGTATTGTGACAAGTGGTGTTGAAGTAGGGGTAGCAACAAATTTAGACTAAGGGTCCACAGATGGAGGTAGAAAATGATCATTGGAAGGATTAAAATAGCCTTTATTAGCAACTAAATTCTCAACATTGAAAGTAGAGTGATAGTCAAATTGTGATGGAAGATCAATGATATACGCATTTGGACCAATACACAAAAAAACAATTATGCGATGATTCAAACTAGACTGGAACGGCATCCATCTGGATTTGCATCCATCTGGAACGGCATCCATCTAGATAAAATAACATCAATTTTATCTTTGGGTATTGTGACAAGTGGTGTTGAAGTAGGGGTAGGAACAAATTTAGACTAAGGGTCCACAGATGAAGGTAGAAAATGATCATTGGAAGGATTAAAATGGCCTTTATTAGCAACTAAAT